ACTTTGCTAGCATGTAGTATGTATTCAGCAAATACTTGCTCTTATTAAGCAATGCTATCACCATTAAAAGATTTTCATACAGCTTAGCAGACATTCTCTTGTTTTTTTCATTACTTTGTCTTGGGGTGCCTGGATGCCTTGGTTGGTTGAGCATTGATTTCAGCTGGGGTCATGATCTGGGGGTTGTGAGATTGAGCCTCACACTGGGCTCTGCATTTAGCATTAAGTCTGCTTGTCCCTCTCCCTCTGCTCCCCCACTCTCTCCCTCTCTAAAATACATAAAATCTTTTTAAAAATTGTTTTTAACATATAGTAAAAAGAATATTTAAAGTCATATAGATTTATTACAGGAGGAGGATTACCACCTAAAAAGACATACCTTGCTTGTAGAAGCATATGTATAAATATTGGGGAAAAATAAACATTATTAACATTTTATTGTTTATGGTTGGGTTTTTTTCTGCCTTATATTGTTTTCCAAAACTTCCTTAATGCTTTTTATAATTAAGAGAAACATAATTTGCAAATGAAAAGACTTTTTTTTTTAAATACCTTAAATTCTATAAAGAACTCCTAGGAGTAATTCCCTAAATTGCAGTACTACTGGTGTACCCTCTTTAGTATCTATGTAACACAAAAGAAAGTAATAAATAGTAAACAATAAAGTACAATTCTAGTAAATATTATGTAGAATATAAGGTTAAAATCACTCACAAAATGTTTAGACTACCAGAATATGCCTTAAAAAATTTACTATAAAAATTTCCAAACACGCAATAGACAGAGTAAACCTCCATGTACAAGTCAACAGTCTCCAACAATTATCAACAGACCCATCACTCTATTCTAGCATCCTCTATTTTAAAACAAATCCCAATTATGACATTTTTAAGAATGTCTGTACTTAAACCCCTCCCAACCAAGTATGCGTATTTCTTTACATTGTGATGTTGCTAGAAGTAGAATCTTACTTTCCCCATTCTTTGGATATGGGCCAGTCTTGTGACACTGACTTTGACTATGAGAATGCAGGGTTAAGTGACATTATTCGATCTACAAGGCTGTAAGAAGTCTTACAACTTCCACTTTCACTTTCTTGGAATGCTGTCTTGAGAACCCCATGCCATTAGGCCATATAAAGCAAAGCCTAAATGTTAACCAAACCAACTATCAGACCTGTGAATGACACCATCTTGGATCTTCCAGTCTGAGAAATCCTACAGCTAAATGCTAGTACATGAATGAACCCTGGCTAAACCAGCAGAACGACCCAACAGGTGCACAGAACTGTACTAGTAAACAATAATCTTAATCCACTAGGTTTTGAAGCGGTTTGCTATGCAGCAAGAGTGATGCTTCATAACTCATCCTATTTTAATTTTGCTACAATTATTATGTACCCAGTTTCTATGAAAAATCGATTCTGTTTTAGGGTCTAATTTAGAATTTGTCAAGTATCTAGGGGAGTTGAAGTTAGTGAATTACCACTAAATTCAGAGCATGAAGGCCAGAGTTCTCACACAAAATACCTATGTATTTCAGTAGCCACTAGTCTTCCAGAATTGCAAACATACTTATAATTCCATCATTATATATAATATTCCATTCCATACCAAGTATTTAGCCTTTTCTATAAAAATCTGCTTCCGGGAGAAAAAAAAAATATATATATATGTATTTTAAATGGGAAATGCTGCGATGCCTGGGTGGCTTAGCGGTTGAGCGTCTGCCTTTGGCTCCAAGCGTGATCCTGAAGTCCTGGGATGGAGCCTGCTTCTCCCTTTGTCTATGTCTCTGCCTCTCTGTGTCTCTTATGAATAAATAAAATCTAAAAAAATAATAATAAATGGGAAATGCTAGTATTTTATTAATCCTAGTGAAATAAAATCAATAGTGAGATGTGGAACCTATATGTGGTCACAAGAGAAAACACAAAACTCTTTAAAAGTTTTCTAAAAACTGCCTTGGAGTTTCAGCTGACAGATATTTAAGACACAAAGATCTACCCGTGCTTTAACAAATAATTAGAAAAAGGCTTAACATCTTCACGAGAAAATATGCCTATTATGTTAAATTTACACTACTTTATAAATAATCTCTTTTCCTTTGAAGTATTTTTGATCTGTAAATGTGAAGTTTCAATCTTCATTTAGAGAGAACACCATTTTAGAGAAAGTGAGACACACATTACACTGCAGTGCAATGATCCTAAAAAAAAAGGTGAGAACGTAGCTTTTAAGGTCCAAAATTTGGCCTCTTCTAAAGCTGTTGACAAAACTGGGTGTAGAGCAGTAGGTGATTTCAAAACCAGGTGTTCAACTTATGTAGTCTAACTGGTAGAGTCACTGAGAAATATATTTGAGAGCAAGAAAAACCAGCTTTGATCACATGAGTTCAGACCAGAATAGAAAAGTTAAGATCAATGAAAATGAAACCTGAGCCAACTTTCAAATTAGAATTTTATACCCACCTTGGGTTCATCTTACTATTAGCAACTGTATTAAAGGTAGAGTTTCTATAAAATAATGATTTGTGAGAAGATAAATTATTTGACTATAACAGAATTTTGCTTTAGTGAATTCAGAGATCTTACAAGTAATTCAAAATCTTACTCTTTTGACATTATAATCCTAATGTGATCAGGTGTTAATTCTGCTATTTAAGAGTTAAAACGTTCACAATTTGTTGGTTAAAAATAGTTTGATGCAAGCATTTCCCTCTGCATTCCACTTATGCATTTCCCATTGTTCTTTATTATTGGCACTTAATTATCAGCAGTAACAGAAGGATGCCGTCAGTAAAGATTACCTAAAAATCATTTTTATTGGGCTTAGGGATACAATAGCTCTCCATTCCCAACAGCATAGAGCACTTTCTAAAACAGTAGAGGTCTTTCATGTCACCTTCCATTCAATTTGTTGCAGCTATGGGAACAAATTGTCCATTCCTGAAACAAAATACGATACCATGACTTTGCAGTTTCCTTATCAAACTCCTAGTCATCTTCACATCTCTGTTCAAGCAATAGTTCCTGTAAAAAAACTTCCCCAAAGATTAAACACCCCTCCTTTGTGCTCCCACAGTAGTACTATGTTCTTAGACTGAGATAATAGCAGCAGTTGTTTATACATTAGTCTCATGACTAAACTGTGAGTTGTGGAGGGCGGGTGCTTGTCAAGCTCATTCTTATAATATGAAGAAGCCCTAGTCTAGTAGCCAGAATACAACAAATCACAAATCATCAAAAAATGTTTTACATAAGTTGGTAATTTTACACTACTTTTCTAAAATATTAATAATGGGCAACTCTTGAACATACACCAGATGAAGAGTTGTATGAAATGGATATGGAGCTCGATAAAAATGGGCTGCACTGAGAGCCATGGATGATGTTCTCAGGTGATTATCTGACATCTTCATGTAGAACACATGCACGTCTATATAAGGAAATCTTTGTGCTTTACTTTGGAAAATAAGCTCTCTTGCCAGTGTGGCAGAGAATAATCACCTGTATTTAAGTAGGCATTTTTAATCATTCTTATTCAAGACATCTGACCCTGCATGCAACTTTGGAAAAAAGCCAAGATTACACATACCCCACATGCCTACATCTGTGGCATAATACAGAGCAAGGGAAAAATTGTAAAAAGTTGTTACCTAAAAACATTTGTATATAAATGTTTATATACAAAACATACAAATAGAACTTATATATAACAATTATTGGGGGGGAAGGGCTATTAAAGGCTGAGTACAATTTTAAGGTTATTCTGACCGGAATATAAACAATTGGACTTTAGGCATCAATTCCAATTGTTTATAACCACTAAAAATTCAATCCAAGAGCATTATTGTCCCCTAGGTGTTGATTACTACAGGCTCCCTCATCCAATTTAATCCTCACCTCAACTCTAGGAAAACTGCTATGGTTCTAAGGAAATCTGAAGGGGTTAAAAATTATGCCAAAATTAAGAATCAAGCCCAGATCTTCTGAGTTTAAATGCCTCATACACCACAACACCGCTTTCACAGAGGGCTGTAGAGCTGTAAATGAAGTACTGACCCCATTTCTGAAACAAAATGTTTATTCTCATGGGGAAAAAAAAAAAAATCTAATCACACCATGTGGTTTGCCTTAACAAAAGTATGTTGTTTGCTTTTTAAATAAAAATTCGTTTTTTGACTTTACCTTATTAGCTCCAGACGGAAAGGAGAGAGTAAAGGGAGGTCTGAAAAAAATCTACAAAAAAATAACTAAAAAAGTCCTACAAACCTTAAAAAATAAAGGAGATCTTACTAAAACTCCATTTCACGTTAGCACCTTGACTCTCAGTAGTGCCGAGCGACACTAGTCGTGACGAATCCATTACCGGGACAGATTTTCCCCATTTAAGAATACCTACATGCGTACGTAGAAAAAATAATAATAACTGTCGTATTTTGTGGTACTTGTTTGTACACGATGTTCACCTTCACTACGCAGCTCCATTAAAATGAGGGACTACTCTCCGACGGCGCCCGCGAGCTCTTCAGCTCTTCCGCCACAGGCCGGCTTCACGTACACCCGAACGCACACATGCCGTCGACTACTTCAAGTCGGCCCACACGCAGCTCCGCGCAGCACCGAACGACTCCCAAAGCAGCACGACGTTCACGGGACGGAGCGAGCAGTGAGCCCATCGCCGGCGCCGCCCAGGGGCTGGCAAGGCCCGGCCGACCCGGAGGCCGACCCGGAGGCCGCCCCCCCGCGCGCCTGCCCTCAGGGCCCGGGTCCGCCTGCCCGTCCGAGAGGAGGCCGGCCCCAGCACCTCGCCCACCGCCCGTCCTTGAGGACGTACGGTCCGCCCCTCTCCCCGTCACAAACGCCGCCGCGAGACCGCAGGCCGCCGGCAGAGGCCCGGCTCGGGCCCAGGCAGCGGCCTCCGCGGCCTCCCCTCCCCCACGCGGCCTAGCCTAGAACCGACCCGACAGGGAGAAGCCCGAGCGCCGCAGCTGCTTACCCCTGCTCCCTCGCCGGCACGGAACGGGGCGCGTCCTGCCCGCCACGACCGCCCCGCCGCCTTCCTCCTCGGGGTTGTGGGCCTTGACCCGAGCCGAGCAGTCCGCAGAGAAGCACAATGGCGCCCGCCCCTCGCCCGGAGCCGGCGCACAGCGGGCCGCCACCGTTGAAAGCCCCTCCCTTCTTCTCCTCCCGCCCCCGCCCCACCCCCCAGTTCACGGGCTGCGCCGACTTCTCGCGAGAGGGGCGGCGCTGCGGGGCCCCGAGAGCTGCGGGCGGGCTCGACGTACCCCGCCGCGGGGTGGTGCTCTGGCTGCGGCAACCGTTGGAGGGCTGCCCCGGGGAGGCAGCGAAGCGCCACCGGTAAGCAGCGGCGGCTGGTCGGCTGGCGGGCTGGCGGCGGGGCCGGCGAGGGTGCGGGCGCCGGGCGCGGGGCGTCGGAGGCCTGGCCCAGGTCGGCCGCGCTCGCCCGGCTGCCGAGAGCTCGGATGTAGCCCCGCCGCTCCCCGGCGCCCGAGTCCCGGCGCGGGTCCTGCCCCCTCCCGCGAGCCTGCAGGACCCTCTGCTGGAAAAACCGCCCGCTCTTTTTTCTTTTTTCTTTCTTTTTTTCTTTTTCTTTTTCTTTTTTTTTTTTTTTTGCGCTTGGTAAGTGGCGCAGCGAATGCTCGTGGACTCGAGCGAAGCACCGGCTCCTGCGACCTCGCCTCCTGCCCTCCCCTCCCCGGGCGCGGGCCGGCTGCCCCGGGACCGACCCTCCTCGGGGTCCTCGGGCTCGGGGTGCTCCGCTTGTGCCGTCGTGTCTTTCAGAATCGTGGTACTGATCTTTGAGAGTGTAGCTGCAGATTTTGCAGTGAAAAAAAAAATTCACTTTTAGAGGGGAGAAAATTTTGAGATAAAGTGGTCTGGTGAAAATGAGGCGAAACTTTCAAGACCCTGTGAAGTGTGGAAAACTTACTATGTGAACGATTAGTTAAAAAAAAAGGGGGGAGTAAGAGAAGAAAGCCACAATTTAATGCGGATTTAGATAGTACGTGGATTCAGGTGATACTGTGCGTATTTTGAATAATTTATCAAACGTAGAAGTTCTTTACCTAAGGTAGAGGCAAATTACGGGAACTTGTAGGCTTACTCATGGCACCTGATGTTTTTAAGTCACCTATTTTATTAGGTTTTAAGCAATGCATTGGATTCAAATAATTCCAGTCAATGAAGTATGAGATTTATACGTTATTTCTTTGTCATTTTATCCAAAGGCAATGTACTATCACTTATCCCTGTTTCAGTCTGGGAGACAAACAGACTGTCCACGCTTCACTATTACAAGTTGTGAAATAGTATGAATTTTAAAGATTTAACGTTTATCATTTAAAGTTGGCACATAAATGTCAATCTAGTTTTTTAGAATGTGAGTTAAAGATTAAGCATCTGGTATAGGGTAAAGTGAACACATTATATTTTAGAGGAAATGAATATCCCTTTTTAGGAAACACATTTTTTCCCCCCCGGCCTGTGTGAGTGGACCTGTAGCATCGGCTTTGGATGTACACACCTGAAGCGCCAGACTGCATGAGTACCAATCTGACTCTGACTCTGATCCTACTACTTGTGTTGTCTTGAGCAATTCCTTAACTTTGCAAACCTGTCTGTGTAAAATGGGGTTAATGACAATACCTGTACCGCACAGGGTTGTTGAAAGGACTAAATGAGATAATGCATCAGTTCCTGGAACATAATAAGCATTCCATAGCTGTTAGCTAATGCATTCCATGTTTAAACCACCGCTAATAATATCTTTCTGGGGCTTAATGTTACATAGGTCCCTTAAGCATCTTCTCAAGTATATTCTACGCTAAGAGGAATGACTGCACCATTTTCCTGAACTATGGCAGTCAGACCTGGTAGCAGTAACTTCTCTACAGAACCCCCAAACCTGGCAAGAATGGTTCAGATTTTTTATGGCTTCATCCCCACCCAGAAGTGATGCTATCAGCAGAGGTGAGTGTGGCACCAATTTTCTACGCTAAACATAACTTCCAGACTAATTTCTTACTGATGCTAGTAGTTGGGTAAAGATCACTGATAACTATGTTTTTATTCCTTAACAATGGTCACTTACTGCTTGTAAAATACCTTCTCTGAGTTCCCATGTAACTATCATTATCAACAAATAATCATGGAGATTTTCCTCTGTTAATGACAATTTAATAGGAATTGTGGATACAGGGGCTGTTAAAATGGTGACTATATCTTCTGAACTAAAAATCAGTACGAAATGATTTGACAGGCAAAATGTTTGAATTCAGAATTGTTTGACCAATTTAGACTCCATAATTGTCGTTTTTGCTCAAAATACCCCCAATTGATCTTCCTTTACTCAACTTTTGGTCTTTATGACCAACTCTGACATACTGTTTTATATCTAAATATCTTGGTTCACCACTTGCCTGCACCACTCATATTAGTTTCCGTTTTCTAAACTTGGCTTCTTCTCTAAATTAGGCTCTTATTTACAACTATTGATTTCCCCTTTCTACTTTATAAATTTGTCATTTGGTTATGGTAATAGCAACCCTTTCCTCTAATGCCTAAGCATTTCTTCAACTACCTAATAGCTTAGAGAATTCTCTTTCAGATATTAAATTTAAAAGTTCCAATTTTCCTTTTTTTTTTTTTTTTTTGTCATTCCACAATCTAACCTTCTAAGAAGCTTCTCTATGTAAGGGCAATCTTATAGGTACTCTTCACTTTGAATAAACCATGTGATCTTGAAAAAGTGTGGTCATGTTTGCTTTTTATAAATCAAATCATTTTTAAATGTAGATTATTTCTTAAGCTTTCAAGTAATAGAAAGTAATGCTTGGAATGAGAAAAGAGTAGTTATAGGGAGGTTGTCCTTGAAGTGAAAAGAAAGGATGCCAATTTCTTCTTAAGTGGGAATTTTATTGATCCCTGGAAAAAGAAACCTTGTGGCATCAACTAATTTGGGGATCTACTATTTAAAATTATAGGTAATAAAATAAAAGTTATAGGTAATTTTATTTTTTTTTTTTTAAGATTTTCTTTCTTTCTTTGAGAGAGAGCATGCAGGTGTATACATGTGGGGTTGGGGGTGGTGGGAGAGAATCCCAAGCAGACTCTGAGCTGAGTTGGAGCCCCACACAATGCTTGATCTCACTATTCTGAGATCATGACCTGAGCTGTAACCAAGAGTTAGGCACTTAATTGAGCCACCCGAGTGCCCCAAGGTATAGATAATTTAAAATACATACTATTATTTAATAATGGATTGAGGACTCTTCTTCTTACTTAAAGATACTGTGCTTTAAATCTTTGATGTAAAAGAATTCCTTTCATTCCAAAAATGGTAAACCTCTGATTTAGAGATTTTGTGAATTTTAATTTTTCCTTTAATTAAAGAGAATTTTAGAAATTTGAGTATAATAAAAAATACCACATTTAATAAAGAAACATTCAAGAAACTCTGTTAGTTGATTTCTGCTGCAATAATTTTCAATCCCCAAAGCTAGTAGTTGAAACAATATAAAAAAAAAAAAAAAAAAACCAACTGTCTGAGAACCCTTTTTTTATACATAAGCTCATGGTCTAGAACTCACTGGTTCTAGGTATAATCATTCTTGCTCATATAGCTACTCCAGAATATATATAAGCTGATCAGAAGCAATTCCCAATTAATGACGCACTTGGAACCCATATGTAAAATACATTTCAGACTGCCTGAAACATAGTTTTAAATAAAGGCAATTCTTTTTTTTATTAATAATACTAGGGGTTGAGAAAATATGGTACACAGACCAAATCTGGTTCATTGCTATTACCGTAAAGAGTTTTATTGGAACACAGGCAGGCTGTGTTTATGTATTATCTATGTATTCGCGTTGGCCCGAGAAACAGAATAAATAATACATAATAGTACTACCTATTTATGTGTCTAGAGAATTGGCTAACATAGTTGTAGGGGTTGTTGGAATTTGTAGGGCAGACCCGAAGGCAGAAACTCAGACAGGAGTGAATAATACAGACTTAAGGCAGAATTTCTTCTCCAGGAAAGCTGTTTTGCTCCCAAGGCTGAATAGACGAGGCCCATCATATTATTAAGGATAATTTCCTTTACTTAAAGTCAACATATTGTAAATGTTAAGCACATTTGCAAAATATCTTCATAACAATGCCTAAATTAGTATTTGATTAAATAACTTGACACTTTACGTTCACTAAGTTATCTCATAAAAATAACCATCACTTCCCATGACTGCTTTTACCCTACAGTGGCAGAATTGACTAGTTGTGTTTGAGACACTGTGGCTCAGAAAGCCTAGAATATTTACTGTTTGGTGTTTTACAGAACGTTTGCCGGCCCCTCTAGTAAACTGAAACCAGATTGAACTGACTCTGTTCCTTTAATAACAGTCAAGGTAAACATACATACACATCAGAATGATAATAATTGGCTCTCATGGCTACGTCAGATTACATTTACAAAACTATATGGAGAAGAGGATCCAAATACTGATATAACTTCCTTGGGTATCCCCTCTGGCAAGTTTGGTCACTATCCCCTTCTTAATTTTTCTTCTTGTGTATGATTTTATAAGAATGTAGGTAGGTGATTATGCATACTAGCTATTTTATTACAGGCCTTTTCTCTTTCCCTTCATAATTTGGCTCTCCTGTCTCTAATTACTACTTGATAAACATCCTTGCAAAATTAGTGAGTAATTTTTTTCTATATGATCATCCATTCTTAAAAGTTCTAGGAGCACCTGGGTGGTTCAGTCACTTAAGTGTCCAACTCTTGATTTCAGCTCAGGTCATGAACTCAGTGGTAAGATCAAGCCCAACAATGGGCTCTCTACACTGGGCGTGGAGCCTGCTTGGAATTCTCTCTCTCCCTCTTCCTTTGCCCCTCCCCCTTCAATGCACACGTCCACACTCTCTTTCAAAAATAAATAAATAAAAGAATAGTTCTGTAAAACGCAAGTGTGCTTTCTCTCTCCACACATATAGAACTATCTACTCATAGTTTCTTTTACCATTCATTTTATAAAACAACCTCAAATTTCATTGTGCATGTTCATCTTGCTTTTTTCAACCAAAAGTACCTCTTATCCAAATCCCTGTTTATATTGTTTATCCTTTCTTTTTTTTTTTTTTATCTTTTTTTTTATCCTTTCTTTTTGAGTGTAATAGCTATTACCATTCTGTCTTGTCTTCATGGTTTTTTCAGCTTTCTCATCTTTCTCTTGACTTGCTATTTAGTATCTTTTACAAAGATACATTCATATGGTAAAATATGTCTACGATTTCTTTTATAACTTTTGCGTTTTTAGCTTAGTTTAAAAAGTCATACCTATTTCTAGATTGTATCATGTAGTTTCCTAGATTTTCTGGACTGTGTTTAATTAAACTTAAATTAATTTTTGTATATGGAATAATAAGATACAATTTTATGTTCAATTCAATGGATAGCCAGCTATGCTGGTAGCATTTCTTAAATGCCTTTTTTGTTTATGTATGACCTCTGTCACACACTGAATTCTCAAATTTATACTAGATTTATTTCTGGATTTCCTCTTGTGAAAACTAAACTATTCAGAACTGTAAACTACGCAGAGAACTATTATTTTGGTTCCTTTTGAGTCTACATTTTCTTACTGTTCTGCGATTTAATCACCTACTTATTCAATAGTAAGAAATGGTAACTCTATTTCCTCTGGAATCACTTTGTATTATATATAGTGCATGTTATGCTACTAACCTACCTAGAAATCATCTTAATTTTTTCGCACTATTCATTTCCTCTTCTTAGCAACTTGCTAAAGCCATTGAATATACTTCATTATTTAAAAACACCTTATCAATATTTTTATATTTCAAAATAATTTTTTAAAAAACTATACACATACACATATATACTACTTAGATTCTTTTCTTTATTTTTAAATATTTTATTGATTTATTCATGAGAGACATAGAGAAAGAGGCAGAGACACAGGCAGAGGGAAAAGCAGGCTCCATGCAGGGAGCCTGACATGGGACTTGATCCCAGGTCTCCAGGATCACGCCCTGGGCTGAAGGTGGCGCTAAACTGCTGAGCCACCCGGACTGCCCAACTACTTTGTTTTTTTTTTTTTTTTTTTTCCATTCATCTTTTTTTTTTTTTTTAATAAATTAATTTTTATTGGTGTTCAATTTACCAACATACAGAATAACACCCAGTGCTCATCCCGTCAAGTGTCCCCCTCCGTGCCCGTCACCCATTCACTCCACCCCCGCCCTCCTCCCCTTCCACCACCCCTAGTTCATTTCCCAGAGTTAGAAGTCTTTATGTTCGGTCTCCCTTTCTGATATCTCCCACACATTTCTTCTCCCTTCCCTTATATTCCCCTTCACTATTATTCATATTCCCCAAATGAATGAGAACATACACTGTTTGTCCTTCTCCGATTGACTTACTTCACTCAGCATAATACCCTCCAGTTCCATCCACGTTGAAGCAAATGGTGGGTATTTGTCGTTTCTAATGGCTGAGTAATATTCCATTGTATACATAAACCACATCTTCTTTATCCATTCATCTTTCGATGGGCACCGAGGCTCCTTCCACAGTTTGGCTATTGTGGACATGGCTGCTAGAAACATCGGGGTGCAGGTGTCCCGGTGTTTCATTGCATCTGAATCTTTGGGGTAAATCCCTAACAGTGCAATTGCTGGGTCGTAGGGCAGGTCTATTTTTAACTCTTTGAGGAACCTCCACACAGTTTTCCAGAGTGGCTGCACCAGTTCACATTCCCACCAACAGTGTAAGAGGGTTCCCTTTTCTCCGCATCCTCTCCAACATTTGTGGTTTCCTGCCTTGTTAATTTTCCCCATTCTCACTGGTGTGAGGTGGTATCTCATTGTGGTTTTGATTTGTATTTCCCTGATGGCAAGTGATGCAGAGCATTTTCTCATGTGCATGTTGGCCATGTCGATGT